ATTTGATAGTGAACGTAAAATAAAATAAATGAAGCCAAAACTTCTTTTCACGCAACTCTGAAAAATTTTTTACATAACGTTTAGAGTGAACGCTGACGATTATTGGCCTAGACTAATTTTCTTAGCATTGATTTCTGCACAAATCTAACATTGGCACCTCGTCGTAACGTGGGAGTTGTAATAAACTTAGCAATATCCGACTGATGAGGCACTATACTGGCAGGCCCGAAAATATGAGAAAATGCTGCGGCGGGAAGGCCATTAATGTCCTGATTTCTGACACTCCATTGCTGAATTCAAGGTGGACGATAGAATCTGAATTCGCAAGGCATAATTACATACACGCTCACATATAAACATACACACACATGCACACAATCACACCCAAATACAAACACACAAATACATATACAAAAATGCACGCCTACACACACAGCTTCTTGTCAATATTCATTTCCCCATTTCATCAGAGATGCACAACCGCAAAGAAATTAATACCATTTCTTATTATTACATAACTTGAGGAAATCCATTAATTTCAAGTATTACAGCCTTGCCATCGAAAAATAACGGTGATGATTCCCGACAGGTATGTCAGTCACGGTAAAACTCCAAAAACGATTTACGATGCTGGAACAATTGAACTTTCTGGCAAATTTAAAGGTGAAGAGCGTGATTGCTTTAATTGATTTAAAAACACATGTTTTTGCGATTTATTTTAATGTCACTTGTCTTTTTTGACACCATTACCTTTAAGTATTGCAGTCTCTATAAAATGTAAGAGAATTCTTTCTGTTGAAGCAAATTAAAAAAATTCTTACTGTGTTTGGATCCTCAGGCAAAACTGTCTAAAATGTTTTCCCACTTCTTTAGCTCCATTTGTGGAACAGTTTGAAAAGAAGTTAGTCACATTCCCCTCAAAAACTTTCACGGAACCGTACGCGAGCAACACACGCCTATACATGCTGAAATTGATAATTTCAAATTGCACTTGAGCTGGGAACATTTCCTGGAAATTTCACCTCCCCAGCTTTCCTAGTCCCCAAGTTAGTGATTTTCGCGCCATAAACCCTCGCGGCGCCGTATGCGGGAACCACGCGCACCCAGGGACTAAATTTGAAATCCTTGAGTTCTACGTGGAGAGTTCAACCTTCTAGCTTTCCCCGTACCCCAGTTGACCGTTTTTCCTCCAAAACTTTCATTTTTCTTCTCGTACGTAGGAGCCAGACTTGCGTGAGGGTTGTTGCTGCGGCCCTGGGTTGGCACTTGCCCGGGGAATCCACCGACAAAATTTTGGCACCGGAGCTTTCTTGGGAGCCGAGTTGAAATGCCCGAAAGACGAGCACACAGACACAGAAACAGACACACTTACACACAAACACACACACACACACACTCCGGGGTAGTCGCAA